CTTCTCAGAAGGCATCAAATATTTTCAATAAATATTCTAAGCTAAACAAAGGGAATTCCTTTTCTAAGGCTGATAAATCCTCAAACTTGATACCCAAAAATGAATTTAAATAGGACCTAATTTACTCATAAAGCCAAAGTACACAAAAGGTCAATCCATAAAAGCCCAAAAGTTAATCAATCAAATATGCTGAAAATTTACTACACTTCTGAAAATTCCGAGGGCATATTCGATTCGTTATGGTGCTTATGATGCTGCCTGCTACCCCCTTTTCTCCCTCTAAACAAATCATCTTTTTTTTTTTCGTAAAGATTGTTTGGCTTTGTGGAAAATGTTTGGAAAATTGTGTCTATGTTTTTGGGCATATAAAATTTTATAGCTTTGCCAGCAGAAAATTTGTTACGGCGCTTAGTTTTTTGGTTTGGTTTTCCAAACCCACCACCACTGCCATCCACACCCACAGGACAGGAGTGAGGAAATAGATTTTCCTGGCTTAGTTTTTTGGGCAAAAGCCACCTTGGCATGTCGTATGATAAATGCATTTCGCGTTGGCATTCCAAAAATTCAATTAAGTTGCCAAGCTGTGTAACCTTTAACCTTTAAGCGTGTTTCGGCACAGTTGCAACGACGCGTTTTATGAAATTCTAATGATGTTTGACGGATTTCTGATTCGGCGGGGATGTTGGTGGGTGGGTTTTCCTCCCCCACATTCTATGTTCTATGTCCTTACCTCCCTCCTTCTTTTTTTTTGTCGCATTTTCATGAACTTTTTGGGCAATAAAGAAAGTTTTCCCCCGCTTACACGTGTGTGTGGCATTATTTTAATTGCCGCTCCTGCTGTGTTTTTCCTCGCTTTTCCATTCCATGTCATTGCTGCTGTAACATTTCGCACGTGACTTTCTGATTTTATGGCTTTTAATTTCACGTATTTAGTTACGGATAATGTTAATTGTATTCCCCGACACGCCCATAGCGCTCATAACGCCCATAACGCCCACAGAAATATTTGACACATGTGATTCGAGTTGAGTCTTTTGTCATAGTTAACATCACGCCTATGAGTTCCGTTCAACTGGCCGTTGAAAACAATTGCCAGGCATTCAATCGTGTACACCCTAATTACTGGGCGACGATAAACGCTGGCGATGGCAGATATATGACAGGATAATGAAAGGATGGCCTTGTCAACGCAATGGTTAATGGATATTGGAATTATTATGTTGGTAGTTGGGGAGATGTGGCTGCTCTTTATGAGGTTTTTTGGGCTATAAATTTGTAAGGGAAATTAATGTGGAAGGAATAGGTTAGGTTAATGGGAAATGTAAGAAATTAACTGGAAGTGTAAGTTCTAGATAGGGCGAGTGCAAGAATCATAAGATTTATAATCAAATTATGTCTCCTTGCAGAAATGTCATTGAATTTAAGTAACTTTTGATGGGCATCTCCTTGTTCTTGGGCTTAACTCGATTAAATAATATTTTACTTTAATTTGAAACTTATAAAATGCTTTACTAGCAAGAAAAGTAGATGTCTTTAAAAAATATTATATAATTAAAAATAATCTTTAACTAACAATATTCCTCAAAAATGAAGAAAATCACCCTTTTAATCATCAAGAAATCAACCATTTACAAATATTTCTTGACTTTTATATTAAAGAGCATTCAAATTTCACTTTCTGACTTTCCCATTTCTGCCTTTTATTACCATAATGCGTGGCATGCAAATTTAATGATGTCAACCGAAGGCAATAAGGCAAAAAGTAGAGTATACTTTCAGGGGAGGGGTGGTTACAGGAGATTACGGGAGGTAACAGGATGGTTCAGGGGGTTGAGCTCTGAACTGAGCAGTTCCTAGGGGTTTCGGATTTTAATTATCAAAAGAGCAGCAGGCGACGCAGCAACACATGCTGGCAAGTGTATGAATAACGATTCGTTTACGGGCAGGATGTGCCGGGATGCCGGGATCCTTTCGTTGGACAAATAATAATATGTAATTTTCCGGTCATTGAAACATTTGCACAAATAAGGAAATTGACTGAGAGCCGTTTGCCCAAAATGACTTTGACACAGAGCGCGCGTGTGTGTGTCGGTGAGTGCGTGTATCTATGAGTTTGGCATCTGAATTTCAATCTGAATCTGTAGCTGTATCTGTGTCTCTGCATCTGTGTGTAAAATTCCAATTCCGCCGCATACCAACCGCCCCCCCCATAAACCCAACTCAAACTACAGAATTTCATATGAGAGATTTTCCCCAAAAACTAAACCTCCTAAGCCAAGCCCCTCAGCCTCTCTCAGTCTGGGTGATGAATTATGGCTTTGGATGGCGTTTGCTCCATTAGACTTGACTTTGCCATCCTCGAGTAAATCATTTGAATATTTAAATTAAATCAACTTCAAATTCTAATTCAAATTCAAATTCAAACTGAGCCAAACTCACACACATACTCCGGCTTAGATAAATATAGTTTTGCGGAAGTTAAGTTTGGGGTAAGCAGCTTTTTCCATTTTAACTGGAAATCAAAATGAATTTAAGGCGTTAATTATGATGGCAGCTAATGGGGAGGAGGGAAATGTATAATTTGAATAGCTTTGACTTGGACAAGGAATGCCAAGGAAAATCTTGAAAATTCTCAACTTAAAAGGAAAATAACTGATTGATTTAATGACAACTCTTGGTACTTAGCTACAAATTCCAAACTTAAGCCTTTCATTTAATCGTGTAATTGCGGCTGTTGATTACGACTCTCTCTCAGGCTTAAACTAATGTATGGAATATATTTGCCAGGCAAAGAGCCAGACTAATGGGTGTATTAAATAATTATAAAGGCATTTCCCAGATTGATTATTATACGGATTAGTTGGCAGGGCAAATAATAGATTGCTTTTTGCGTTAAATAATCAAATCTAAAGCACTTTATTAGGTTTTCTAGAATTTTCTTTTGCTGATTTCCCGGAATACTAAAACTCAAATACCTTTCCAGAGACAAACCGCAAAACCTTCTAGTCTATGACCTCTTTTTGTGGCTGCTGCCTCGCTCGAGACAAAAGGCCATTAGTAATGTGAAATTATTCTTAAAATTTATTTCGAACGTTTATGTGGGGAATATGAAAAACGAGCCAGCTCAAGATGAAACGAATAAATCACTGGAGGAGATGTCCTCCGACAGTCGGAGAGGCATCAGCTGGAGACTCGAGACTCCTGTTTGTGCCACACAAAGGAGATTTTCCTACCCCCCAACCCCCCTCTTAACAATTTTCAGTTGACTAATTGAAAGTTTGGGGGCCAAACTGAAGAGATGAGGTAGGGAGCAGGGCAGGGCAGGGGACAGTCAGCCGCAACATTTGGCAAATGGCAAAACATGACGTAAAACATTTTGCCAACAAGCCTGGCGACGGCGGCGCTGGCGGGGCTGGTATGTAAAAATCTTTCTTAACAAATTGCACGCGTGTCAAAATTAAAACGAATAAATTTTTTATGGCCTCTGACGAAGGGGGAAATAATTTAAAAAATTGTCGCAGCGGCACCTTTTGTCTTTAAACTCCCAAAAAACAAAAAAAAAGAACAACAAAAATCGCAATCGTGGTTGACATGTGCAGGGGGTGTTAAATCCGATATATATATATATATTTACGATGTGGCTTCGTTTTCGACTTAGCTGGGGGATAATTAATTAAAAATCGATAAGAATTTGATTTGGATTTAACGGCTCTGGCTGAGCGGTTGCGAGAATTATGATGCTTAGTCAGCCGAAAGCCCAAAAATCCGAAAGCCAAAAAGCGGTTTCGACCAAAATTTCTGACACCGCAATGACAAACGACACAGCACCACCCACCCCCCCTCCCCCCAGGTACCCCTTAACACTTCCACTGCCTCCCCCAGAAAAAAAAAAAAAAAAGCACTCCTCCCGTTTGGGGCCTTTTGTTTTTGTTTACGATACTCCTCGGATTCGCAATTAGGTATAAATTCTGTTTGAATGTGAATTCCCAGCGGGTTGCATATAACATATATCTAGAATATCTATCTAGCATACTATATATGCACATCAGAGCACTATAAATAGTTCAGATTTTGGCCATGTGGTCCACCTGATTTGATTGTTTGCCAATGAAAATGATTGCAGGCAATAAATTTCGGCTGTTTCCTCTTCTTTCGAGTCTGAGTCTGAGTTATATAAAAACCACATCCGTGTTCTAAGTTCTTTGGATAAAAATAAACCATTTCGATTGGCAAAATTTACATACTCGTTGTAGGTCAATAAACATCTTAAAAGTAGAGTCTTTTAAGATTTATTTTTAACAATTTTTTAATATAATTTCTGTTACATACAAAAACCCATGGTATCCCCTCAGTCGATTACTTCGATGGGTTCTTTTCCTTCTTCTAGACCATTTCTTCTTATCCGCTGACTTGGTTTTTATTTTTATTGTTTCGATTGGAGAGCGTGAATTTATGGCGGCCATAAATTACATTACAAACAACACACTCGAAGGTCGCCTGGGGACGGCCAAAGGGTTGTGTGCTGCCGCAGGGGGTTACAGAAAGGGTGGTGCCACGAACGGGAGGGCGGTGGACTTTTAGCCCAGTTGGATTTCACTGGGCGAGAGCAGCTAATTACTGTAAATTGAGCATTAATCTCGGAAGAAAGAATTTCCGATTTCACAATGAGTTCAAAATGCGCGTTCTTCTTGTTTACTTTGAATGATTATCTGCTTGTGGTTAAGTTTTGTAATTACAATTTAGAAAGCTTAATTTTGCATTTTGATTAACTTGAAAGCTTAAAAGGTGTAGTGTAGGGTTGTAGTTTAAGGGTAAGGTGGCCTAATCTGGATTAGGTAACCCTTTTTAAGACATTTCTCTTTATCAATTTTGCAAGTTTTTAAAATCTCCACCCAAAACATCGTTTAAAAAGAACAAAAACCTTGCTAAAAGTTAACCAAGACATATTCCTTTTGATAATAAATTTTCTAAATTTTTCATCAATTAAGATTAAGACTTACCCTTGCACACTTTACGATGGGTGAGTGGCTTGGTGGCGTCCCGGTAGAATCCCTCCTTGCACTGATGACAGTTCCTGCCCGTGGTCGAGTGGCGGCAGTTCATGCAGACTCCGCCGGAGACACCCTGCGACAGTCGGAAGATTTCCATATTGAAGCGGCATTGGCGGGCATGTTTGTTGCAGTTACACTCTGAAAAAAAATAGGGAAAACAATAAAGACAAGTTAGCACGAAAGACAAGTTCTAAGTGTCCGATTTCAACAGCTCTATCGTGGCCTGCAATTTGGTGATTGCCAAATGCGATAAATGGGAAAGAAAATGGCACGCAAAATGGTTTGTCCAGGCTGGGATGGAGGGGAACACAGAGATGGCACAGAGATTGGCAGCAGTGGATCTTGGTGGATGGGGGAGCGCTATTTGTCTAGCGGGACATTGGCTTAGGTTGGGTAATTTATGCGACGATTTGTTTTGAATTACTTACTTAAGACAGAGGCGGGGATCTGAGGAAGAGGTCGTTACCCCTCGAATTTATATAGGGAACATTAGTTGGCTTTAATTTGGGGATTTTCTTAGATTTAAATTTGATAGAAAGACTTCAGGTTGTTTGTTTTTACAGAAAAAGAGACTCTTTTCTTGGAAAAGGTCCTGTAAAATAGTGATTTTTCCTGGAAATTCCATTAGTTTTTCTTAATAAGAGTACATAGGAAGCTTAGGCAATTACTAATATTGAAGAAAATATATATTTTCTTATGAAAAAACCAATTGAATCCTTAAAAGAATGGGTAACTAACATATCCCCTAGTCGATCATTGCAAACTTGAGGCTCCTTTGCTTATTCACTGTCGCCTGCTGCTTGTTATGCTTTTGGCAAACAGTTTTGCTATTGACATTCGATGGCGACTGCTGCGGTTATTGCTGCCGGGCATATTAACACAGAGAGAAATTGATGTACACTTTTAAGAAAGAACAAGGAATTTCTTACATATTTTGAGTAAAAGTTAAAGTTTTTCAAGTTACGCTTCGTTGTGAAAACCATCTTTTGATAAAAACTTATTAGTAACTTCTTTTTTCGTAACAGTGTATAGAAGTTCTATGCTGAGTTGGCATCTTTTGGCTGAGGTTTTGGAGGCCAAAATGAAGCCTCACAGTGGGAAATGGACAGACAGACAGCTAGCTGACCTGTCAATGGCAAATGGCCACGAATGTGGAATCTTTCTGCTGCTGCAGCAGCTTGCGGCTAGACTAGAAAGAAAAAAGAAAACTTGAAGCACCTCCACCATTGTCCACTGTTCGAGGGTCCACTGTCAGCCACAATGTGCAATCGACAGTTGGTCCAGTCAGCCAGTTCTCGGAGCCGCATGTTATAATTATCTTGCACAGCGGCAGACAAGACGACTCTCCTCGACTCCACTTTCACTCCACTCTCACTGGTTCTATGGGATCGCCCTGCACCATGCCACATGCCGCATGACATGCCTGACCCCCTCTCCCCTGCCTTGCCTTGCCTTGATACCCATCCTCATGCCAGCCGCAGACAAACTTATGTCAGCGCAAATATTTGAGCGCAGTCAGGAGGCACTGTCGCATTCATACACTGGGAATAAGGTATTAGGAGGTTGTTTAGGGGGTTACTAGCGAGATATTTAGGGTTCTCGGAAGGTATATGAGGTATCAAATACTAAAGATTATTAACCATATACGAGGTGTGTTCAAAAAGTAAGGTGACTCTTCAAATTTCGCGAATTTCAAATTTTTCGATTATCGATTTTTTTGTTTTGTTATATTGGTACACTCTTCCCTAACATCTGTACCAAGTTTCAATGGAACATCCTCTTTTGTTTGGTTGTGAGAGGCGTAAAGTTACAAGTTGTTTTGCGAGCTCGGCGATTTTTTGCTATCGAAAAATATGGATCAAAGGATTTGGATTTTTTGGCCAAAAACAACACCACAATAATGCCTCAGCCACCATATTCACCGGATTTGGCCCCATGTGACTTTTTCTTGTTCCCAAAACTGAAGATAATCGAAAAATTTGAAAAATTTGAAATTTGAAAAGTCACCTTACTTTTTGAACACACCTCGTATAACTTCTAAAAGGTTTCGATAATCGAAAAATTTGAAATCCGCGAAATTTGAAGAGTCACCTTACTTTTTGAACACACCTCGTATTATAAATATTATGGTTTCTTGATCAAAATGTTGATTTTTAATAGCCTAGAAAATCCTTTTAAAAAATAACAAAAATCATAGAAAATCATATTTTTCGATAAGCAAAATCTCCTCTTTAAATCAACGATGTAATTTGATCATTGGTTAAACATTTTCCCTCAGTGTAGTCACCGTGCAAGCCAGAGACCGTTGTAGAATCGTCAACAAAAGCTAAGCAAATATTTAGAAAACGCAGAGAGCTCAAAGCACGGCGTGTGGCTAATTGACAAGCTACCAGGCTACCAGATCTTCTATATATATATATATAGATAGATATACATATACTGGTAACTCCCCACTTCCGTCCCGACAAAAAGGGTTCGGCTCGGTGTTAAAAATGCTAGATAATTAATTTTAATGACACACTTACGACCTGCGACTTGCGACTTGCGACTGCCGGCGAATGCCACTTGATTTATGGGCCGGGCAAGAGATTTTCGTTTGTTTTTCTTCTTTTTAACATTTGATTTTTGGGGCCATGTAAATTTTGAGTTCGACGACGATTACAAAATGCCCATCCAGTTCAATCAAATGCGACTTAAAGCGATGCATAAAACCGCTCATTAGCCGGGACCCCAAGCTGCTGCTGCTGCTGCTGCTGTCGCTGCTGTGTTATCCGAGAAAGGTGAGCCCGGTAATTAAGTTCAAATTTGATAAGTGGCCCCTCAAACACTCTCTCGTATATACCCATACCACCCCCCACCCCTGCTGTATTGTATCTCCCTTGAAATGGATTGGATTGGACTTTTAAAGACAATGAAATCGTCAGTATATCGGTATCTGTATCCGTATCTTTGTCGCTCGAAATTAACTGCCTGGGAGAGTTTTCAATAAAAACATTTTTAGGCCGCTTAACTTTCGACTCGAATTAGTCATCCCCAGCGAAGAGTGAACAGAAAACATTTATTTTGACAGGGAAAGTTGTGAGTTGAGGGGGGCAATAAGGATATTAAGTTAAGAAATGATCTTAAAAAAAGGTATAATTAATCATAAGTTTAAAAACTGTAGAAGTACCAGGACTTCATTGATAGTTTCATGTCTTATTAGCTTCCCTTTTCTCTTGATATTTTGTAAAGAGCTCAGCTATAACTAGTAGCCTGAGCTGTGTGTATTTTCTTTGCTCGTTTCTGGCTTCCACAAATTGCAATTTGAATGGCTACTGTTTCCGGCTGTGCCTTGCAAGTTGACACAGTACCCATGCCGGCGAGTTATGAATGGAAACCCTTTGAGATATCTCCCCCGACCAGCTGGTGGGGGATCAGTCAGTTGGGCATCTCTAATTAACTGCCGCAGAGAGATGTAGTCCGGGGTTTTTTTTTTTATTCCGGCTCCTCCGTAGGGGATTTCTGGCCGTGGATTCCTGACCAGTAGCTGAATTTGGCCAAGCTTAGCAGCAGCTTGGAATTGGCCAGAGCCCCTGGTAGTCGTAGTGATGCGATGCATCGAAGACTGTTTGATAAATTGTCGGAAAGCGTTCGCTTTGGCCACTGCCATTGCCCCAAAAACAAACCAAAACATTCTATAGCCAGCCAAAGCACAGACCAAAGCAAACCCAAACGCAAACCGACCAAAAGCCAATCCGAACGTTACGCTTTTCGAGATGTTAGGGAATGGGGAAGTTTATGCGAAAAATGTTGGCTTTGGGTTAAAGTTTTAAATGGTAAAATTTAAAGTTTTCAAACTCCAAATCACCAACTAAGTAGGACCACTTCTTCATAAAGTTTCCTTACTTTTCCTTACATTTTCCATTCCAAACACAAAATGATTTCCCTCCGCATAAACGCACTATCTGTTGATGGGTTTTTTGTTCGTGGAGTTGGTGTTTTTTTGGTGCAGGCCAGGGCTTTTCCTTGTCCATGTCCTGGCTGAGGAGAGTTTTCAATTTGCCACACTCGACCCCCCGCCTGCTGCCCCTTCCCTGCCTCTCAAACGCTCGGTCGTTGTCGACATTTCATCGTTTTATGATTGATTGCGTTCGCCTCGCAGTGATTTTCGGTTACCGAAAATTGTGAATTGAATTCGGAGGAGAAGGAAGTGTGGGAGGGGGAGGGGGAGGTGCTTTTCCCTGGGAAAACTAGGGGGTAGAGAAGGGTTCTATGGCTGTTTGGTTGTTGTTGGTGCGAATGCGGTTGCGGTTGCTGCTCTTGCGTTTTTGCACTGCAATTTGACAATTTCATCGCAAAATTGTTTTGGTGTTTGTGGCCGTGTTGTTCTGCTCTGTATGGGATGTCGCTGCCCCTCTCTCTCTACCCCTCTGTGATTTATCAAAAGTGGTCGTTTTACACAAATCAGACAACAAAAAAAACAAACAAACAATCTTGCTTGGTAATTAATAATTTTTGAAATTTTTTTGCCCAAGAAAACAAAGCGAAATGATTGTTGTGCTGGCGAGTGATTCAGATTAAGAAGAAGCGCCGGCAATTATGTCATCTCATCTCGATTTGTCTGTCTGAGTCTTCATTCTGGTTAACCCAATTTCGCCACTCTTTGAACTTATACTATAGTATAGACTACTATATAGTATACTCTATATAGTGCAGGGCGGCGGTGTGTGTGTATTTATAAACATTTTCATCGTAAACGCCCCAAAACAGTCGTAAACAGCCAGAGCCACTTTCATAAATTGTTCGCACTGACTTCGCTGGAAGAGCGTCCAAGGAAAATACCAAGGAAAATCCCTTCATCCACATGGCCCCAGAAAATATCCAAACATTTTCTGTTGGCCCACAAGCTTTAGTCTTTTGTTTCTATCTGTAGAATGGAAGGGTTTATCCGTTGAAGTAATTAACTTGTTGGGTTTTTACAGGCGGACGTATGTATTATATTTGCTGGTAAAAAACCCATCAAGCTGACTTTTTTTTTCGATGCCTAAACTTCATTTTGCTAATGATCTAAATGTCACTTTAAGGCAATCTGGCAAAGAGCTATATCTTCTCTTAAAGAAATCTTTGTTAAGCGAACTCTCCTTTTAACTTTGGGCTAC